CCCACTGACCGTGTGTCTCCCCAGTGCCCGGAGGAAGGATGCGGCGAGGTGTTTCACAAGAAGAAACATTTGGTCTCGCATCGCTTGACACACACGGGAGCGCTCTCTTTGGCCCTGCGATGTTACAAGTAAGTCTTTCCGGGGGTCACCACAAGAAGTAGGTCATTGTATGGTCACTCTCCCATGTTACAAGTAAGTCGCTACAAAAAGTAGGTCGTGGTATGGTCACCACAAGAAGTAGGTCTTTGTATGGTCAGTCTCCCATGTTACAAGTAACTCGCTACAAAAAGTAGGTCGTGGTATGGTCACCACAAGAAGTAGGTCTTTGTATGGTCACTCTCCCTTGTTACAAGTTAGTCACTACAAAAAGTAGGTCGTGGTATGGTCACTCTCAGCTGATCAACCTACCCTTCTATGTTTATCAATGGTTTGCAAGCCCAGCGGTAAACAAAAACCAGCAAATGTGGTACTGATATGTTCATTTTTAATTCCTGAAAACAAATTGTGCTCAGAGGAATGGGAGCCCGGTGAATAAGGAGACGTACCTGTCATGCCATATGGGCGGCCAGGAGCCACAAGTTTCGCTGACTTCCACGACGGGCATAGGACAACAAAGGAGGAACTCATTCAGTGCCGAGCGCTCCGCCAGTGAACTCCCCTCATCTACTGGCCAGTTTTGTCATGGCAACAGGAAATTAGGTCAACCCGGGAAAATCAATCCAAACTAGTGGGCTCAATGGCTGTTTGAGTGGAAAAATATCTCCTTGACCTTTCCCATAGTGCATCACGATTAGTTAAAAAAACTTTGAATGGTTTAGAGAGAGAAATTCTTTCTATAGATTTAGCGAGACAGACTGCGAGTATTCTCGTCGCTAGTATGTGGGCGGGGCCCAGGTTTGGCGAGTATTCTCGTCACTGGTATGTGGGCGGGGCCCAGGTTTGGCGAGTATTCTCGTCACTGGTATGTGGGCGGGGCCCAGGTTTGGCGAGTATTCTCGTCTCTGGTATGTGGGCGGGGCCCAGGTTTGGCGAGTATTCTCGTCTCTGGTATGTGGGCGGGGCCCAGGTTTGGCGAGTATTCTCGTCTCTGGTATGTGGGCGGGGCCCAGGTTTGGCGAGTATTCTCGTCACTGGTATGTGGGCGGGGCCCAGGTTTGGCGAGTATTCTCGTCACTGGTATGTGGGCGGGGCCCAGGTTTGGCGAGTATTCTCGTCTCTGGTATGTGGGCGGGGCCCAGGTTTGGCGAGTATTCTCGTCACTGGTATGTGGGCGGGGCCCAGGTTTCATGAGTACTCTCGTCTGTAGCACGGAATGAGTCAGAGACGGCCAATCTGCGGTGTGGCCACAGGGGGTTTTCTTGTGCTCGTCAGGTGCCCCGTGGAAGGCTGCGACAGAACGTTCGTCTTCCCCAACCGTCTGACCCACCACCTCAAGGTCCACAAAGGTCAGTCCTTGTCACGTCTGCCAAGGCCATTGTTGTCTCGTCTGCCAAGCTCATTGTGTCATCTGCAAAGGTCATTGTGTGGGTGGTTGGCGGGTGCTCTGGTGTGGTTTGCTTCTTCTTTCCTATCACACATCTATCGTCCTTATCTCCCCTTCTTCTTTTATGTTTGTTACTCTCTTGTAACACCTCTAATCTTCTGGCGCTCATATGACATGCAGTTGCGAGCGCTGTAAAACCTCTACTAAGACTTTAAAAAAGGTAATTGTGTCATCTACAAAGGTCGTCGTTCAATCCCCCCCCACCCCCACCCCCCGGGCGGTGCTACTGACTGAAGTGTCTTTAGGCCATTCCCAAAGGGGGGACATTAACTTGTTCTTTGTGTTGCAAGTGCCGTAAAACTCTTACAAGAAGAACCTGTTCTTATGCAAAGTAGAATTGTAAATGGACTGATTCATCAATGCCATGCTCATAACTGTGCCTGATCTACAACAGGGAACTGCTGCTTTTTCTTTCCTAATCCTTACTATCATCATTTCCCTCTACTTCTTTTATATGTTTGTCACTCTCTTGTGACCCGTTATTTCCGGGGGGTGCCTTGATAATCGAAGCAGACTTTGTGCTGTTGAGGCTAGAGAGGTGAGCAGAGTAAGTCTGATTCCCTGTTTGGACTTCTCTGTTGACATCCACCCCTTGGCGGTCATATGACCTTATGCAGTTGCGAGCGCCGTAAAACCTCTACTAAAACTTTAAAAAACACTTACTAAAACAAAACTAAAACTCTGGCACTGTCTCCCACTGCCCCCCCCCCCCCACTGTTCCCCCACCCCCACCCCACTGTTCTCCCCCCCCAGGATACCCGTGTGACGTGGAAGGCTGTGACCAGGTACTCACCAACTGGACGGCGCTACGCAAACACAAGTCTGAGGCACATGTCTTGGGTAACTGTCTGTCTGTCTGTCTGTCTGTCTGTCTGTCTGTCTGTCTGTCTGTCTGGCTGGCTGGCTGGCTGGCTGGCTGGCTGGCTGGCTGGCTGGCTGTCTGGCTGGCTGGCTGTCTGTCTGTCTGTCTGTCTGTCTGTGTCAACAGCAAGCTGTCCTGATGTACTTCGTCCAGACGACAACATTTTACAGGAGAGAGAAAAAAACTTTCCATCTTTGATTTGTTGGGACAGTCAGAACCAGGTGTGATGTACCTGTTCCCCCTGGTTTGTTGGGACAGTCAGAACCAGGTGTGATGTACCTGTTCCCCCTGGTTTGTTGGGACAGTCAGAACCAGGTGTGATGTACCTGTTCCCCCTGGGTTCTACATTGACAATTTGAGTTTGAACCAAATATTTCTTGAGCATGTGGGATTGATACACAGATTGAGAATATTAGCAGGTGGTTGGCGGGGGCTCTAGTGTGGTTTGCTTCTTCTTTCTTATCAAACATCTGTCAGTGAGTGGTTGGCGGGTGCTCTGGTATGGTTTGCTTCTTCTTTCCTATCAGACATCTATCGTCCTTATCTCCCCTCCTCCTTTTTTATGTTTGTTACTCTCTTGTAACGCCTCTAATCTTCTGGCGCTCATATGACCTTATGTAGTTGTGAATGCCGTAAAACTCTTACAAAAACTAACATGAGAATATTAATGTGTGGCCTAGTTTTTTCTACTGTTTATTGTTTATTAATGTGTGGCCTAGTTTGTTCAACTGTTTATTAATGTGTGGCCTAGTTTGTTCAACTGTTTATTAATGTGTGGGCTAGTTTGTTCAACTGTTTACCAAATATACTTTGTTTTGTGCCCTGGGCTCTCTGATATATCAGTAATGAGGGAAGTGAACAGACACTTGACATTTGTGCAAAGTTGAATGATGTCGGAAAACTTGATTCCTTTTTTCTGCCACTCTGTGACTTTTCCTCCCCAGAGAACAAATGTCAAATCTGCGGCAAAATCTTCAAGCAAAAGTCAAACCTGAACCAACACTTGAAGACACACAGCGAGGCCCGGGAACCGCTGACGTGTGACCGAGAGGGCTGTGGGCGGGTGTTCTTTTACAAGAAAAACCTGACTCAGCACATTCGAGAATATCACGACGGAGAGGCAATCTGGAGGGGAAGGAAGAGATCCAGGAGGGAGAAGGTGGGGAGGAAGTCACTGTGTCTGTCCATCATGGGGGACCAGAGGAGGGAAAATTGTGTGTGTCCATCATGGGGACCAGAGGAGGGGAAGCTTGTGTGTGTCCATCATGGGGGACAGAGGAGGGGAAGCTTGTGTGTGTCCATCATGGGGGACAGAGGAGGGGAAGATTGTGTGTGTCCATCATGGGGGACCAGAGGAGGGGAAGATTGTGTGTGTCCATCATGGGGGACATAGGAGGGGAAGATTGTGTCTGTCCATCATGGGGGACCAGAGGAGGGGAAGATTGTGTGTGTCCATCATGGGGGACCCAGAGGAGGGGAAGATTGTGTGTGTCCATCATGGGGGACAGAGGAGGGGAAGATTGTGTGTGTCCATCATGGGGGACAGAGGAGGGGAAGATTGTGTGTGTCCATCATGGGGGACCAGAGGAGGGGAAGATTGTGTGTGTCCATCATGGGGGACCCAGAGGAGGGGAAGATTGTGTGTGTCCATCATGGGGGACATAGGAGTGGAGCTTGCCAGTTGTTGGTTTTTTTTTGTGTGTGTGGAGTGTAAGTGTAAGGTACTCGTGAGGTAAATTCTGACCGTTTGTGAAATGAACGACGATGAAACGAATGATTGAGAATGATGATGTATCGAACTAATATCTTCGACGGTTTGTGTTTCATTTGTAAGACTTTAGGTACACGGTACAGATAGTATTTGCCTATTGGTACAAGATACAGATAGTATCTGCCTATTGGTACACGGTACAGATAGTCTCTGCCTATTGGTACACGGTACAGATAGTATCTGCCTATTGGTACAAGGTACAGATAGTCTCTGCCTGTACACAGCACAAATATATTGGTAATAATAATAATAGTCATTTGTATAGTGCAAATCTCCGCTCAACAGCAAGCTCTATGTGCTTCACAATCTATACTATTACCCCAGCAGACATGAGAGCATTCTGAAACAACCTCAACTTCTTGGAAAGCATACAGTGCAAGCAGCCATTTATAGGCTCTGAAACACTAACATACTGACAAGATCTTTCGCTGTCTATAGCCGGGTACCCATTCCCACCTGGGTGAAGTGAGGAAAATTCGTGTTAAGTGTCTTTCCCAAGGACACAATGTCGGGCCCGCAGCGAACCCCCGAACCCGCAACCTCACGATTACGAGTCCAGTAGCCTAATCACTAGGCCAGCGACAACCTCACGATTACGAGTCCAGTAGCCTAATCACTAGGCCAGCGACAACCTCACGATTACGAGTCCAGTAGCCTAATCTGTAGGCCAGCGACAACCTCACGATTACGAGTCCAGTAGCCTAATCTGTAGGCCAGCGACAACCTCACGATTACGAGTCCAGTAGCCTAATCTGTAGGCCAGCGACAACCTCACGATTACGAGTCCAGTAGCCGAATCTGTAGGCCCCAAAGTCCAGATAGTGTCTGCCTGTACACAGCACAAAGATAGTGTCTGCCTGTACACAGCACAAAGAGATTGCTCACAGTCACAGCACAAAGAGATTGCTCACAGTGACAGCACAAAGAGATTGCTCACAGTCACAGCACGAAGAGATTGCTCACAGTCACAGCACAAAGAGATTGCTCACAGTCACAGCACAAAGAGATTGCTCACAGTCACAGCACGAAGAGATTGCTCACAGTCACAGCACAAAGAGATTGCTCACAGTCACAGCACAAAGAGATTGCTCACAGTCACAGCACAAAGAGATTGCTCACAGTCACAGCACAAAGAGATTGCTCACAGTCACAGCACAAAGAGATTGCTCACAGTCACACTGTCTTTATTCTTCTTTTCTTTTGACTGTTTTTTTTTCTATTATGCAGACCTGCCACTCATCCCGATTTAGTCGGGATATCCCGATTTTTTGCCTCAAATCTCAATCCTCCCGATTTCGATCGCATGTATCCCGATTTTTTGTCCCAGTCTGCTGTTGTGCCAGATTTTTCTAAAAACTTACTCTGCCTTCTCCTTTATCGCGGGAAGCACCCGTTGAACTTTTTGTCAGTAGGAACTCGGAGCACTGTTTCCCGAAATATCGATGCCGCATTTAGTAGTTGACTCGCCCCAAGTTGTGTGTGATCTTTTCCCGCACTCAGAATTCTCTGATGATAGCCTGGCAACTGTTACAATTTGGGACATTTAATTAATAATAATCGATAATATTCGTTGTTCCGCTGTTACTTTCAAAACAAGCCTTGTCCGAGGTCTGGTAACTGCGCGAACCCTCACACAACTACATATAACTGCGCGAACCCTCACACAACTACATATAACTGCGCTGACAAGACTAACTTACGGCCTTTGTCGTTGGTTAAGTCTGAACGCATTATGAGGGACAAGAGATTTGTTGGTATATTATTATTTGGTCGTCGGCCGCCGTCGTTATCCTAGAAGTGGAACGACTGTCGCTCATCCGAGTGTTTTGTGTGAACGTGCAGTTAGTCGGACCCGTTACATGTAGTGAAATTGTTTCAATCGCGCATTCGCGTCACGTGACATATCATCGCCGTGTGAGTTCTGCGTGTCGGGGACCGTCCGTTGACGGGGTCAGCTTAAGTTCATGTATTCCGGGACTTATTGGTAGGGGTGGGGGTATAGACACTTGGACTAGGAGTGCTTGACGCGACGCTTCAGGATTTACAAAAAATAATGATAACTCGCACGCACGCACACACACACACGCTCACACACACACACACACACACACACACACACACGCGCGCGCGCAAACAAACAAAGACGCGCACGCAAACAAACAAAGACACACAGAGGACAAATAGGCCAAGGAATTTATGGACACCACGGGAAAAATTTTAAGCCAGCTTTGGCAGTCACCTTGGTGATTTGCTGATGATCCCGATTTTTTTTCACCAAATCCCGATTTTTTCTCCCTGAGATCCTGATTTTGAGGTTTCATAGAGTGGCAGGTCTGTATTATGTGATGAAAAGTTTGACGGCAAAGAGTTGTTGTGGGTGGTTGGCGGGTGCTCCGGTCTGGTTTTCTCCTTCTCTCCTATCAAACATCTGTCGTCCTTTTCTCCCCTCCTTTTTTGTGTTTGTTACTCTCTTGTAACACGTAATCTATTCTTCATCACTTATATGACCATATTGTGTTGCAAGTGCCGTAAAACTTACTAAAACTAATACTGAGTTGTTCCGTTTGTCCCCTGACGTTGTTACCTCTCTTGTGTCGGTGCAGAAGGAGGCGACGGCCCGGAAAAAGCCGAGGAAAAGAAGCATGGCCGCCCACTGGCTGCAGCTGGACGACCGTAATAACGTGAGTGACTCGCTGGCACTGGCCGCCTTTTTCTGGGACGTTTTGTCGCGTTGTCTTACGTGGTTTGAAGATTTGTGCCTACGTGTTGAGTAAATGTTTGCTACGTGTTGAGTTAATGTTTGCTACGTGTTGAGTAAATGTTTGCTACGTGTTGAGTAAATGTTTGCTACTTTTGCTACGTGTTGAGTAAATGTTTGCTACTTTTGCTACGTGTTGAGTAAATGTTTGCTACTTTTGCTATGTGTTGAGTAAATGTTTGCTACGTGTTGAGTAAATGTTTGCTACTTTTGCTACGTGTTGAGTAAATGTTTGCTACGTGTTGAGTAAATGTTTGCTACGTGTTGAGTAAATGTTTGCTACGTGTTGAGTAAATGTTTGCTACTTTTGCTACGTGTTGAGTAAATGTTTGCTACTTTTGCTATGTGTTGAGTAAATGTTTGCTACTTTTGCTACGTGTTGAGTAAATGTTTGCTACTTTTGCTATGTGTTGAGTAAATGTTTGCTACGTGTTGAGTAAATGTTTGCTACTTTTGCTACGTGTTGAGTAAATGTTTGCTACGTGTTGAGTAAATGTTTGCTACTTTTGCTACTTGTTGAGTAAATGTTTGCTACGTGTTGAGTAAATGTTTGCTACTTGTTGAGTAAATGTTTGCTACGTGTTGAGTAAATGTTTGCTACGTGTTGAGTAAATGTTTGCTACGTGTTGAGTAAATGTTTGCTACGTGTTGAGTAAATGTTTGCTACTTTTGCTACTTGTTGAGTAAATGTTTGCTACTTGTTGAGTAAATGTTTGCTACGTGTTGAGTAAATGTTTGCTACGTGTTGAGTAAATGTTTGCTACTTGTTGAGTAAATGTTTGCTACGTGTTGAGTAAATGTTTGCTATGTGTTGAGTAAATGTTTGCTACGTGTTGAGTAAATGTTTGCTACGTGTTGAGTAAATGTTTGCTACGTGTTGAGTAAATGTTTGCTACGTGTTGAGTAAATGTTTGCTACGTGTTGAGTAAATGTTTGCTACGTGTTGAGTAAATGTTTGCTACGTGTTGAGTAAATGTTTGCTACGTGTTGAGTAAATGTTTGCTACGTGTTGAGTAAATGTTTGCTACGTGTTGTGTAAATGTTAGCTACGTGTTGAGTAAATGTTTGCTACTTTTGCTACGTGTTGAGTAAATGTTTGCTACGTGTTGAGTAAATGTTTGCTACGTGTTGAGTAAATGTTTGCTACGTGTTGAGTAAATGTTTGCTACTTTTGCTACGTGTTGAGTAAATGTTTGCTACTTTTGCTACGTGTTGAGTAAATGTTTGCTACGTGTTGAGTAAATGTTTGCTACGTGTTGAGTAAATGTTTGCTATGTGTTGAGTAAATGTTTGCTATGTGTTGAGTAAATGTTTGCTATGTGTTGAGTAAATGTTTGCTACGTGTTGAGTAAATGTTTGCTATGTGTTGAGTAAATGTTTGCTACGTGTTGAGTAAATGTTTGCTACGTGTTGAGTAAATGTTTGCTACTTTTGCTACGTGTTGAGTAAATGTTTGCTACTTTTGCTATGTGTTGAGTAAATGTTTGCTACTTTTGCTACGTGTTGAATAAATGTTTGCTACGTGTTGAGTAAATGTTTGCTACTTTTGCTATGTGTTGAGTAAATGTTTGCTACTTTTGCTACGTGTTGAATAAATGTTTGCTACGTGTTGAGTAAATGTTTGCTACTTTTGCTATGTGTTGAG